CTGCATTAGATATGAGCCTGTACCTGTGTCACAATATTTTTAATAGGCATTTTTGCGGTAAAGGTACGACGGTGTACAGCTGTAATGCGCCATTTTTTACCTGAAATCTTCTCTCTTTTAATTTTTGTCTTTATTTCCCAAACACGCCACTGCGCTGACCCTGAAGACGCATTGTAGGAAAAAAAGTACGTGAACGCTTTTACATCCGTTAGGTCGTGTTTGTGACTGCAGATACGTGCAGAAAATGGAGTTTGAGTCAAAGAGAGGACTCATTAAGAGACGTCACTTCTACTACCCTTGTACTCCATTAAGAAGCAAGGTAGTCGTTTTGGAATCGATTTTCTCTTTGACATGCCCTCATCTTCACTTTATTACTCTGAGTATTTCCAGCAATTTTTGTAGCTTTTACTGCCATAACAAGTAGTTGTAAGAATAGAGACACTTGTAGTGGTACATTCTTTGACTCCCACTTTAAAAGGTTGTTTACTAATTAAGCAGTGTGCGTTGTAATTAGAAGCAAAAGCATTTGGAACACACTAAAGCTTTAAAAATGAGGTTTTCAGGATTTTTCTGTTTTAATTTTTATGCTGTTTTTACAGCTTTGATTTATTTGGTGCAATTCTATTTTAGGTATTTTTAGTAAAATTTATGTTTTGCGTTTTTACTCTCAATTCTGATACGTTCATTGCTTTACATTACATTGCAGTCTTCGATAGATTCCAAATGAATTTCAAAATGAAGCAAATGATATCGATTTATTAAGACAAGGTTGGCTATACTCAGATTGATTTAGTAAGAAAAATGAAATGGAATACAGTTGTTTTTGAATAAATTGAACTAGTACGGAAGTATTTTTACGATGTCAACGAAAAGGGAACCAATGATTGGAAAAGTGGGAAAATGACTCTTCGATATGTCAGTTGCGCCCTCCATCGGAGAAATCACGAGAAAGCAGCTGATGGCTGTCGGATGCAGTGAGTATGTTTTTGCCTCAAAGACAGCCTTTGATAAACAAAGCCCGTTAGCTCGTCAGCTGGTCTGCAGCAGTCTGACCGAAGTTTCTCTCTCGACGCATCCGCTGGCTGATCGGCGATGGGTGAGATACGGTGATAGGACCTGGTTTCGATTGCGAAGCGAAACGCAACCAGTCACGCGATAGAGGCAACCTCGCCTTGTGCTGTGATTGCGCCGACACACTGTAAACGTCATCCTCCATTCATTCGTTCATCCATGAAGATGTCTGCTGGGCGACTGCTGCAAAGGTCAACCTCTCACCACCTGTCCGCCCATTTCTTTACCTTCAGAATTTAGTCGTCTTCCATTCTTCCTATTCTTATTGGTTTCAGCTGCATACACTCTACTATTTCTTAAACGTCCAGTAAATGATGCGGAACACAGCTTTGAGATAATTACCCTGTGATGAAGTCCACAACTAACTAAGCACCAACCCCTAACAGCCAGCTAACGACTGGTTCAGTTTGCCAGCCACTAGCCGCAACCTAAAGCCCAAGTGATGCCAGCCCACAACACTAGCATCCAGTTGAGCACTTTGCCAATTGATGCGCCTTAATTAGCTCGCCCATATTGCCTTCATCAACCAGTAATCGCTGCCCTTGCCTCTGCGCCAATTGCTCGAACTAGATTGAGCCAACTTTGTTTCGTCTTCCTTGCTGATAACTGCTCTTGCTTTCCCCTGTTGATGCATGCTGAGTGCTGTGACGCCAAGTGTTGTCGAGTGTTTTTTCTCCAGTAAATCATTTGATTGGTATCAACTAACCCTCAGCCATGGCTCAACAACCTGTCTATCTCAATGTTTACGATATGGCAAGTGTTAATAAACCTTGAAGGCACTATTGATTTTGTTAACAGCCTTTTTTATTTTCAGGCTTCAATTAACCAGTATTCGTCATCTCTTGGCGTCGGTATTTATCATACTGGAGTTGAAATCTATGAAATAGGTGCGTTCTTCTAGCTTGAAAAGTTCAACATTACTAAGTCATTTATCAATAGAATACGCATACGGTGGACACCCGCTTGACTACTCGGGAATATTCGAGATTCAACCTAAAGACGTCGAGTCACTTGGAGAAGAGACTTTTCGCTTCAAGGAGTCCATCCTTATTGGCCACACTGACTTTAATAATGACGACATCAGGCAGATGGTCAAAGAGATGGGAAAAGACTACAAAGGAGACAAGTACCACCTGCTTCATCGAAATTGCAACCACTTCTCCGAAACATTTATTAAGGTGCTGTTATACTTTTTTATTTTTATGTATTCTAAACAATGTGTTTANAAAGACTACAAAGGAGACAAGTACCACCTGCTTCATCGAAATTGCAACCATTTCTCCGAAACATTTATTAAGGTGCTTTTATACGTTTTCATTTTTATGTATTCTAAACAATGTGTTTGTTTGTTCAGACACTATGTGGAAAGAAGATGCCTTCTTGGATCAACAGACTCGCCTACATGAGTACTTGCATACCGTTCCTCGAAAAGTGCATACCCAAGGAGTTTTTGATTCCTATTGCGCTTGAAAACAGTATTCACGCTGACGATGAGATAGCTGGTGAAGTGGACGACGAAGAATCTCAGAGCATCAACACGACGGAAGATGACGAGGCGATGCTAAAGGAGTCCTCTACATCATCATCATCCACTTCGAGTGCTTCCTCCTCAAGCATCTCCTGTTTTTCTCCGTCCATGCGTAGACGGGGCAGTACCAGTTATCCAAACAAAAATAAGAAAGGTGCACCCAAGAAATCCGCAGAACGCACCTCTCTCACTGATTCCCCCAGGTTGGACAGGCCCAATCGGCCATTTTCTAATCTGAAGCGAATCATTTAAAAACCCACATTATGCCTTATTTCCAACTCTCTACTACCGATCAACCCTTACTACGCACAAATGTATTAATTTAAAACTAAAGTTAAGCTTTGCTTGGACAATAACAACAACAACAACAAACCACCACTATTTGTAGGGATGCCATGTGATACGGTTAACGTCCTTAGGAAGGTGTACACACATGATTGGTGAACCACTTAGTTAATTCCACAAGTGACCATTTATTATCTATTGCCATGTCAGTGCCAAACGATATTCGTATGGTAGGTAGATAAAAACTTTATATATTTTTATATTGTCCATTACATTAAAAACATTTAAAAAGCATCCACCTGTTCTTAAGACCTCTTCACTTTGATCAGGTGGTCATCTTCGATTCGGTACGTAGTAATATCATTCCGATCTTGCATTTCTTCAGCGTAGTTCTAAATAAGTATTTGAATTAGTTTGATACATGATAACCGAGAGTCTCAAAAACATACCTCTGCTGAAATAATTAACTCAAAGTCCTGACCAATATCGATTTTCAGTAATCGTCGGAGAATAAATTTCAAGTTTGAAACTTTAGTTGAAACTAGAAAGATACAAAAACGTTTAAAAAATGTTATGCAATTTGAAGACGTTTTATTACCAGGGACTTGTTTTTGAATTTGTCTTTTGTTTTCGTCGGGATTTTCAGTGTCTGCTATTTTCAGAGCTAGAAAAAGGGTGAAAGTTAGTGATATAGTTAGTGGTATAGAAGATATAAATCAAACTTCTTACTTATAAAATTTTGTTTTATCTTGTCCCTTTTCGTTTGCACAACTGCCACAACCGGTTCGCCAAGTTTGTCGATCAGTTGATGTATACGTGGATTCTCTTCTAGGAACGACTTTCTTTCCTTTGAATCACTCTTTTTTAGGTATTCAGGGTAAATAGTCTTTAGGTAATACTTTTCTCCGTCTTTTCGAAGCGCCTCCGTCACAGGTTCTCGATCTAGCGTTGTTACATTGCCAATTCTCGAGATGACATGATTAAAATTATAGTAGTATTGGTTCATGTCATAAATGGGATTTCTCTTTAATATCAATGTTCGAAGTGACTTGAGTCGATTCAGTTCGGCCACCGATTTCCAGTCATTAATTTGATTGTTTTGTAAATCGAGCCAACTCAGAGCAGGAAACAAATTAGTTTTGCTTTCGAGATCACTTGCATCGGAGAATGAAATAAAGTTAATTTTGCAGTGAGATAACTCGAGTGTGTCAAGGCTGGCAGAGAGTTAAAAATTGTTAGAATAGAAAAAGAAATTGCATCAAAACATAATACCTAGAAAGGCTTCCTAACTTGCAAATTTCGTTCCAGTCACTAATGGGATTCTTGCTCAGGCTGATATATGTCAAACTTTTGAAGTTTTCGTGTACATTGGTTATCTGAACAATTGAGTTGCCAAAGAGGTTTATCTTTTGGAGTTTCGGCCACAGACTGAAACACCGAGAGACATCACTCCAAGTGTACTTCAAGTCACCGAGTACTATTTCACGTAAGTTGTCAAGCTCGCCTTGGTAAGATTCAAGTTCATCTTCAGTGATGGTCTGCAGTGGATTGCCGGTGAGGATGAGCTCCCAAAGTGATTTTGTGATTTGAGATATTTGAAAAACTGTTCTCCAATTCGATAGTCTATTTAAGGCTAAATCGAGTGATATTGCTTTCAAATGTGCAAACTTGGTCTGGTCAAACGTTCCGCAGGAAGAAATGCGAGCGTTTGCCAGATTAATGTGCTGCAAATTGGTCACATTCTTCAGACTTTGCATCAGCTTGTCAAAACCGATGTACTCGGTAACGCGCCGGTGTCCTGGTTCCTTCTGCACCAGTTCAATCTCTTCCACCGGTCGGTCATCACAGTATTTGGCGTACAATGCTTCGATAAATGAACAAGTTTCATCTTGGTTGTCCATCGTACATTGCCGGTGTTGGTCTGCACAGAAGATAAACAAAGTGTGTGGATCTCAATAGTCAGAACATTCAAAGTGATCTCGGTTGGAATAGACTGTTTTCAAACAAAATTATAATTTTTTTGCAAAATGTGTGCTAAGATGATAAGATACCTCATCACCAGCCAATTAACCTTGGCTGCTGAAGAAGAATGTCTTCAGTGGTTACCACCACCTTCAGTGGACCTCCTCGGAGAGTTGCATCAGTTGACAGTTGAGAGTACTTCTGCTCGGAAATCATAACCATGGCAATGAAGTGATAAGCCGCCCGTCTACCGATAAGAGCAGTGTTTGCAGGCCTGCAGAGGCCAAGAAGAGGCAAGAGGCATCACTCTGGTTATTGCGTGGATTGTCTTCTGCCAAATCCGCGTGGAGTGTGCCACCTTCCGTGTGCTGAAGAACCAGCAAAGCAGTTGAAATTGGCTATTCATCATGTCGCTGCTAAGCATCCAGTTCAGCGCCGACCAGGACAAGTTTCTTCGAGAGTTTCTGCGCTTGTCCTTTGC